TCACAACATGTCGGAACAGTTTGAGTATTTACAACGCGTCCAGCGTATACGCAACATTGTGAAGGAGCCCTGCGTGCCGTCGGCCTTGGACTCAGAGGCAGCGACCAAACGCAGGCACGATGTATTGCCTAATTATTCACGATGGTTTCGAATTTCTGCTGCATCGAGAGTTTTCAAGGCGACGGCATTTCCGCGGCCGTCCCACCATCAGATGTGCGGCTCTAGCAGAAAACAACGCGAGGGGACCAGGCTGCCAATGAAAGTGGCGCGGTGGCCAAATTACTGTGCGAAGGGGGAGACCTCTTGAGCATAATCATAGCGGCAGCATCCAGGCTGTATGAGACCCCAGGGCAATTGTGTTTGACCATGGGGAACCATGTGCAGTCACATACGTTCTGATGACTGGAGACGTCTTGCTTACTGGGTAGCTACCGACCCATCTGCGCTATGCTGATATTGTTAAAGTTATCCAGCGGGGCTTCTGCATGCAAGAGTACAGTACAAGCTCCTTGCGGAACAGGCTCTCCACCAAGCTGGTGTTAGACGATATTTTGATTCATTTCTGTGCAGCCACAAAGTGGGCAGAGAAATGCAGAGAAATCTGCATGCCGCTTTGGGCTGTTACGCTGGATGTCAAAAGGCTTTCGCTTCTTTTTCTCGCTCGAGTCTATTGGGGGCGCTGATGGTTCACGGAGTGCCGTTTGCCCTCGTATGCATGCTGTCCACATTGTGCAGTGGCCGACAGGCGCACCTCAAATGTGACGTGGCGAGCCGAGACTTTGATATTCTGATGCAGACGAAGCACGGCGTTCCAAATTGCGTGATCGAGGAGGTGTTGCGCGAGGTGGCAGCACATTGGACTGCCAAAGTGTACGGCGTGTAGCGTGGTTGCGCAGGACATTCCGTGTTCGGTTCTCTTTGCCAGAAGTTAAGAAGCTGAGTTCGGATGTGCAGCAAGAAGGCGCGAAGGTCGGCTTGGAACTTCACCTGGAGAAGACGAAGATACACCACAATAGTCTTGGATTTGGCGGCAAGGTAGGAATGGTGGTTGTGGAGGGATTGCGCATCGAAGTAATGGAGCTGACGGAAATCAACATGTTTCAGGGCAAGGCGTATTCGTTGACGTGCGCTTACGGCGCCGAGCTGACACACCGCAGGAGAAGGCTTGGGCGAAGTCCGGCGCGTTTCGTCCAGAGTTGGTCGACAACTCGCCACCGATCAATCTTCGGATGAAACTCTTCAATTCCGTGGTGGCTCCGACCGCACAATACGGTTGCGGCAGTTGGGTCATGACGACAGAACGAGGTTCAAAGTGGACGGGGTTGCAATGAGAAATGGTCAGGGCAATGTCCGGACGGGGATGCAAGGTCCCGCTGGACGGATCAGTGGAGACACGGATGGATGGGTGCCTCGTGTGACGTCAGACGTACAAGAATTTATGTAGAAATTGAACAAGTTCGGCTGGACAGAAAGAAGCACGCCGTTCCCGGCTACGAAGGTGAGGGGAAGAACTCAACGGCATGAGTTGCGACCAGTGGGCCTTGCTGGACATAAGACCCGCGGACGCCCACTGACAAGATGGGGTGACCACTTTCTGCTGAACCCTTAGGACACGCAGCTGCGCTCTCGCGTCCCGTACTCAACCTTCCTTGCTTCTTTCCAAGGTGGCGTGGCGGTGTTGGTGGTATGTTACGTTGATGAAAAATGTGTGCGTGCAAGTGTTCAAGGTTGTGGTGTGGTTCAGCGCCTTGAGCGTAGCCGTGCTCGTGTAGTCCCCAGATGCCCTTCCCAATGGGGATTTGTTCTTTGCGCAGAACGCGAAGGAGGATTATGGCGAAGGTATTCGTGATATTTACCAGAATGCCCATTTGAGTCAGCGGTGCGACGTTCTAGCTGCCCCACGTGGCCCAGCTCATGTATTGAGCTACCTCCCTGCCACCCCCTCTAAGCAACCTTCGCGACGACGGTGGAGCGCTAGATCATGATGGGCTGATGGTGGTGGCGGTGATGAAGATGATGATGGTGATCATGAGGATGATTCTGATGATGCTGATGCTGCTGATGATGCTGCTGATGATGGTGAAGATTGTGATACTAGTATTATTGTTATCTTTAGTATTAGGACTATTATTGTTATTATGAGTATTATTGTTAGTATGATTCGTATTATTATCATCACCATTAGTATTAACATTCTTGTTGGTATCATTACGAGTCTTAATCGTATGCATAGCAGTAGTGATAATATTAAATATGATAGTGCTGCTGCTGATGCTGATGATGACGGCGATGCTGATGGTGGTGATGCTGATGACGATGATGAGGTTGACGACGATGATGATGATGCTGATTATGATGATGTCGATGCGGATGAGGATGATGATGATGGTGATGATGATGATGATGATGAGAGTGCGTGCGCAGTAATGATGACCTGGGGGCCGTTCTGAGACACGAGTAGGGGGAAAGGCAGCAGTGCATAGCAGCCGCGCCCGTGCCATGCTCCATAGCCTTCTGTTTCTCCAGGGTCTGCGCGCCGCTGGCCAGTCGCGGGCGCCTGTGCATGTTTGGCAGGCTCGGGGTGCCCGACGCCTTGCTGGACGGCGCGCGGGAGGCGCTGCGGTCGGCGAGCGTCGCGACCTTGGTGTGGGTTGGCCAGGGGTCCCAGAGTTGCCCTGCGTGCCCGGAGTGCCCGAGCTGTACCTGCTCTCCCACTTTGGCGTGCCCTGCCTTGCAGTGCCCGTCCTGCACGCTGGGAGGGGCCACCTGCCCCAGCTGCCCGAGCTGCCCTGAGGTCAGCTGCCCCGAGGTGGCGGTGGATCTCGGCAAGTGGAGGCTCGTCGCGGTGCTGCTCGCCGGCCTGGCGGGGCTCGCTGCGGGCTGCTGCGTGGGAGCGATTTGGGGCGCGGGGCTTCGGCGCATCGTGCATGTCCGAGGCGAGACCTATCGCTCCGGCGCGCCTAGTGCTGGTGCGGTACGGGGGCGGGGAGGCGTACTGGCACGAGCGCCTCCTGCTCTGCAAGGTGGAGGGGACGACCTGGGTCATCGCAGCGCCTGACGGAGATGTCTGTCCAGAGGACATCTACGGTCTCAACGGCAAGCCGTGCTGCCAGGGGTCGATCCCGCCGTCCATCCCGGCAAATGCCCTGCTGTATAGGTTCGCGCCGCTCGGACAGATGCACACACCAGCAGAGTGGCGTCAGATCTTCGAGGACGGGATCGCGACCGCGCAGATGGAGAGGGCCATTAGGGGCATCGACGACGCGGCCGCTGATGCAGATTCTGGCGCTGTGCGCGACCGTGTGGCGTTGCACGTGTGGACCGCTGATGCTGGGCTGCCAGGCGGGCCACCCGCTGCCGCCGGTGGCGCAGGGGACGTGGCCGTGGTGCCCGTGGCCGCGGGGCCGCCTGGGCTGGGAGGGCCCCCGCCCCTGCCGCTGGCGGCGGCACTGCTTGCGGGTGGGCTCGCCGCTGCGGGCGGAGGCGCCGCCGTGCCGCTGGCAGGAGGGCCCTTGGGAGCTGATGCTCCGCCAGGGGCCGCGGCGCCGGCCCATCGCCAGTGGATCGTGGTGGCTAACGATGGGCAGCCAGGAGCCCCAGCAGTCGGAGCTGACTGGAGTGTGGACGCGAGTGCGGTCATCGTTGGCAACTTCGCTCTGGTCAAGCTCGGCTGCTCGACCCTCGTCTTGAAGAGTATCGACGTCGGCAGCAAGCAGCTCAAGCTGGTCGCCAGGCGGGGCGAGCTTGAGCAGGCGGTGGCGGCGGCGGCGGGAGGCGGAGCTGGACCACATGCAGGAGCAGCAGCACCGTCGGCGGGAGCTCAGCTCAAGGCCACTGACGCGCGTGTGCTGCCAGTGCTCTATGACCAGATGGGCCAGCGGTTCCGCTCGTTCGTCGACGCAGTGGGCCTGCTTGAGGAGCCTCGCTTCACGGACTTCCCGATCCAGGGTCCGAGGACCACATTCTGGCTCTGCAGGTTCATCTGTGATCAGGGCCAGGTGCCGTGAACCAGGGCCGAGAAGTGGATGCGGGACGCCCACGTGCCGGACAACGACAGGGTCAAGCACGAGCATAGCAGTCTCATGGAGATCCTCGAGTATGCGCTCACATATGACCAATTGGATTGTCCTCATTGGCCTCCTTTGAGATCTCGGCACGTCGGATTCAGTTATTGGAGGAGGCCTATACGTCGAATCCGAAGGCGCCGAGGTTTGAAGGGAGCGAGCACTGCCAAGGGCATGGCAGGAGGGTCGCCGCTGTGGCCCCAATGCTCACCTCGCATGTTGCCAGGTAGCTGCAGGGTGAGGCACAGATCCAGAAGGAGCGACGCAAGGCCCGCGAGGAGGCGGCCCTTGCGCGCAAGGGCGCCCCGCGGCATCTACGTTTTCGTGGCCCGCCCAGGGATGCCAGCCAGTCGGGGTCGTCTTCGGGGACCTTGGCGCCGCCTTCACCTCAGTCGGGGCCGTCAGTGAGGACCTCGGCGAGATTTTGTTTGAGGCATGGCGGATGGTCGCCAGCGTGACCTACTACCTCTGCCAAGGCTGGGCGAGACTGAAGTCCCACGTGGCGCTCTCAGTCGTGGAGTTCAGCAGCGTGTTTGTCGTCGTGCGTGGGTTGACAGGCGCGTCGGCGAGACAGTCTGGGCCCTCTATGAGCTTGGAGGGGTTGGCAGCACACCGCACGGTGGTCCTGGTGGAGAGCAGGCTCGTTCTGCTGTTGCTATGGTCCGAGATGCTGTGTCTGCCATGCCCTTGCCTCGCGAGCGGCCCGCTCCGCATGAAGCCCTCGCGGCGCTTCTGCGTGCAGGCGCTCGCTACGGAGACAGCGAGTGCGCCGGGGACATTGCACCGTTTGGTTTGGCGCCTGTCTCGCTGCCGGGCCGCGGCCTGTCAGGGGTGGATATCTACCAGGTTCTGCCTTCGAGCGCGTCGCACAAGCTTAAGCGGTTTCGCGACACCATTCTTCTCAGTGATGAGGAATATGCATTGCGTATCAAGAACGAGGGACTGCCCAACCTTTACTTTGACCCAGTGCTCGAGGCGCAGCCCGCCAAGTGGGGGGGATTTTGCCGGGCTTGACAAGGGGACTGGCACGATGGGCCCGAACCTACAAAGAAAGGGTCGGTTGGTTCTTTGTTCGCAAGAAAAGTGGTGATTTACGACTCATATGTGATGCGCGTCAGAGTATCGTGCGGTTCGATATCCCTGATTCAATGCAGCTTGCTAGTGGTGACTCGCTCAGCCGCCTCGAGAGCAGCTCCGAGCAGGCCGTCTACTCCGCCAGTTTTGACATCGAGGACTACTTCCATGAACTCAGGATCGATGAGGATCTTTCGCAGTACTTCGCGCTACCCGCTGTTCGGGCATCAGCAGTCGGGGTGGAGAGCATCGATGGCGTCAAGGTCGACGCCCGCGAGCTCATCTACCCGGCGCTGCAGTCTCTGCCCATGGGGTTTTCGTGGGCCATGTGGGCGGCCCAGCTGGTGCATGAGGAGGTTCTGCGTCGCGCTGGCCTGCCTCCTCCTCGCCTTCTTCGCGACGACACCCCGCTGCCCTCGCTGGACTGAGGGCCCGTGCGCATGGCCTATGTTGACAACTTTGGGTTCGTCGGCTGCGACGAGGCCGAGGTCGAGGCTATGCACCTCCAGGCGCTTGAAGGCGCCAGGAAGGCTGGGTTTCACGTCCACGAGATCGAGCGCGTCAGTGCTTCCTTGGACGTCATTAGTGTGCACTTGGACGGCGAGAGGAGGGCGGTCGGATCTATGCTGGGCTGCGCGCACTTGTGCGGCGGGGGCGGTGCACTGGGAGGGAGATGCGGGCCATCCTGGGCCACCTGTGCTTCGCCTTCTTGCTGCGCCGCCCTTGTCTATCCTGCGTTGCGGCCTCATTTGCCTTTGCCGAGTCCACTGGGGACGACTGCAAGAACCTCTGGCCCAGCGTCAAGAGGGGGCGTCTCCTCGCCGCCGCGATCTTGCCGCTGGTATACGCGGACATCGCGGCGGGCTGGCTTGACCAGGTGGTGGCGACTGATGCGAGCACTGTCGGTCTGGGCGTTTGCGTTGCGGAGTGGGCCACGCATGCTATCCAGCTCGCAGGGGCCCGCGACGAGCGCTGGAGGTTCAAGAAGGGCCCGCGGCGCAAGCACAGGAGGCGGCCCTGGCGGGCTATGACGTCGCCGAGCCTCCGGTGGATAGGGGCGGCAACCTCGCAGCTGACAGCGACGAGGGCGCCTGGCTGGCCGTCGGGGACTTCCCAGATGTCGAGCCCGCCGCAGTCAAGGAGGCGAAGTGGGCAGTGGTCGCCAAGCGCCCTTGTGGTAGTCACGAGGGTACCGTCCATGTCAAAGAGGCGAGGGGCGCGAAGCTCGGCCTCAAGCATGTGGTCCGATGCGGCCGATGGCGGCACAGGAAGGTCCTCATGCGGGTCGACAACATGGGACTGGCGCTGGCGCTCCAAAAGGGTCGATGTCGCGACCCAGCTCTCCTCGGCCAGTTTCGTCAGATGGCCGCTTTGCAGCTTGCCACTGGGCTGCGGGCGCAGTTCCGCTGGATCCCGTCCGAGGTCAATCCTGCAGATCGACCGTCGCGGCTGTGGGGGCAGGCGGTGGCTGATGCTGGGCCTGCATGGCGTCCTCCTCCTGGGCTTGCTCTTCCTGATGCGGGGGGTTGTCGCGAGGGCGCCGGGCGCGGTCCGCAGGATGCCTGGCGGCGTGACGACGCGCGAGGTGGCCCATCGGATCGAGATCTCCCCCGCTACGCACATGGTCAGCCTGGAGACTCGACTTCGCGGGCAGCAGCCTCTGGCGGACGAAGGGTCAGGACCATCCGAGCAGGCGAGCCTGCCCCGTCCCCCGGCGATGCCAGCCGAGCGTCCAGGCGGCTCGCGGAGATCGCGGGCCACAACCTCGACAAGGCAGGCTGCCGCGCGCAGGTCTGCCAGCAGCGGAGGTCTTTCTTACCTCGAGAGTATCGCGGTGAGGCTTGTCCAGGTCGAGGACTACCACAGGCGGATCGAGGAGTTCTATGGGTTCGTCCTCCGCCAGGGCTTGAGCACCTGCACCCTGGACGCCCCGGAGGCAGCGCTACTGAGCTGGGCGGGCGACCCGGGCTTGGAGGGCAGGAAGAAGCACGACGGCGGGGAGCTGAAGGCGGCTGTCCTGCTCTACTGCCCGAGCCACAAGAGGACCAACACCGGGCCACTCGCCAGGTTCGAGAGGTGCCTGAAGGCGTGGGAGCATCGGCGGCCTGCGATGGGCAGATTGCCACCGCCGTATACGACGATGTGCGGGCTGGCAGTGGGTCCTCCCCTCCAGAACCACACAGACACGGCGGTGGCCGTGCTGGTCGCGCTCAGCGCCTACTTGCGGCCAGGGGAGCTGCGCGGTCTCCGCGTGCGCGGCGTCGCCCCTCCCGCGCGCGGCTGCGGGGCGGAGCGCCAGAGGTGGTCGCTCGCCCTTGGGCCGTCGGACGGCCAGGGCAACCCGACCAAGACAGGCGTGTGCGACGACAACGTGACGATAGACCACGAGAGCCTACAGCTCCTCGGGCACTTCTTCGAAGGTGAACCTGGACGACAGCGTCCAGGAGTACCTCAGGCTCTGCTGCGCGGACCTTGGCAGCATCCTCCTCGACGCGGCCCCCGCGCGCCGACCGCCTGGTTGGATCGCGGCGACATCTTCCTCGACATCCTTGCCGGCTCCGAAGGGGTCGGCAAGGCGATGGCGAGGTGCGGCATCTCGTCGCTAGAGGTGGAGATCCAAAGCGGCCTCGACCTGCTCGCGCCAGGTGTAATGGCAGCCCTGCTGAAGCTGGTGAGTTCAGGCGGGGCAAAAGGAATGCGCCTGGCTACGCCCTGCCGATCCTTCAGCATTGCAAGAAGAGCGCCTCCTGCTTCGGCTATGCCCAGTGCTGTCTGCTCTCCCGACCACATCTGGGGCTTCTCAAATCTCTCTGATGAAGATAGGAAGGTGTGCATGGAGGGCAACCAACTCGCCAAAGCAACATGCAAACTCGTTCGGCAAGCCATTCAATATGACGTGCCGTTCATGATAGAGAACCCTGCCTCGTCCATGCTTTGGTCCATTCCGTTTCTGAGGCACCTCAGCAGTTCCAAGTTTGCAAAGTTTGTGGTTCTCGACCAGTGCCAGTTCGGGACTGACTTCAGGAAGCGGACGGGCCTCCTCATGTCCTCAGATTTTGACGACTCATTCCTGCAGCATAGATGTCAGGGAAAATCAGGCGCGTGCTCTCGTACCAGCAAGCCTCATGAACACCTCGAGGTGAAAGACAGAAGTGGCTGGAAGACAGACCGTGCTAAACATTACCCATCCCGCATGTGCTCCGCTATTGCGAACACCTTCAGATCCCTGTGGGCCCAAAAGCATGTGGCATGTTCAAAGGCACGATCGACGTCCGGGCCAGGAACGACGGCCTCTCCCACCCGAACCCGCCCGAGGCCAAAACCTCTTGTGATATTGGGAACATTTTCGTGGGGAAGTACGGGGCACAGTTTCAAAGCTCTCTGTGACTTATGGTGGCAAGCTTGGGTTGTATCGCTCTGGGATGTCGTTCTATTGGCCACGGAAATCATCATGCGAGTGCGTGCGCAGTAATGATGACCTGGGGGCCGTTCTGAGACACGAGTAGGGGGAAAGGCAGCAGTGCATAGCAGCCGCGCCCGTGCCATGCTCCATAGCCTTCTGTTGCTCCCGACCCAACCCTCCCTGGGACACAGTTTTGCCACGGAAATCATGCTGATTATGATGATGCTGATTATGATGGTGAATGTGATGGCGATGGTGCTTATGATGCTGATGAGGACGGTGGGGGAAATCGTTGGCACGAGTGATGGTGGGGGTGATGAGGTTGGCGGCGAGTAGTATAGTCTCATTCGATGTTTTGGCGTTGTGAGCACAATGAACATGATGGGCCCGACAATTGTTTTACCTGTCCGTCGCCATCAGTGACGACGTCGTGCAAACGCAAGGCCAATCTCATGGGACTGGCAAGTGCCAGGGCGTGGGTGCGCGTCTTCGGTCTCGCTGCGCAGGAGGCCGGCACGGCGGTATTCATCGACAGGGCTATTCCTGACGTTGTGCCTCTTTGTCCTGCCTCGCATTGGCGACTTCCATCCTCGCCCGCTCCCGTCCCTCTCTTCGCTCCCTTCGCCCTTGGCTCGCCAGCGCGCGCGCGTAAGCCCGCCCCCGCGCGGCCGCGTGCGCTCTGCAGCTGGCGGGGTGGCGCAGCAGGACGGGCCGAGGAGGCGCCGCGGGACGAGGGCGGCGGCATGAGCCAGCAGGCGACCATCGGGGGCGAAGGGATGCCGAATGGGCTTCGTGTGCGGGGGCGGCCAGGGTGGCAGGGAATGGGCCGGGGTGAAGATAGTGGGTTTGATGGGGGGAGGGATGCAAGCGGGAAGGGAGGGGTAAGGCCAGGGAGCGAGGGACCAAGCATACGAACTCGCGCGCATGACCTCCTATGGCAGTCAAGAGTCCCCCATCAGGCGAGGTGAGCATGGGACCTCCGCCGCGCGTTTTTCACAACCCTCCTGTGTTGGGTTCTCGTATTGAATAGAGCACTGTGATCGCATCTTCTTCCCTTTTCTCCTCCTCCCTCTCCTCCGCTCTCCTGCCCTCCTCTCTCCTGCCCTCCTCTTTCGTGGGCTCCCTGGGGGGCTGCGGAGTGTTCAACTGTTGCCTTTTTCGTGGGCTCCTGGGAGGTCCAGCGGACTGGGGTCGTACGGGGACCCAGTTGAGACCTCGCGGCTCCCCGGGGGCCCCGGAGTGTGCAACCGTCGCCACTTTCGTGGGCTCCTGGGAGGTCGTGCGGAGCGGAGTTGTGCGGGGATCCCGTCGAGACCTCGAGGATCCTTGGGGTCTCCTGGGGGTCACGCGGAGTGGAGTTGTACGGGGACCCAGTTGAGACCTTGCGGCTCCCTGTGGGGCTGCATGCGGGGTCCGGCGGAGTCGGTTGTCACGCAGATCCCGTCGAGACTTCGCGGCTCCCTGGGAGGGGGCTGCGAAGTGCGGAACTGTCGTCACGTTCGTGGGTGGAGTATGCAGAGGGGGAAGGAGGAGGATGCGGATGAGGAGGATGACAAGTGGAAGGGAGGAGGAGGAGGAGGAGGAGGAGGAGGAGGAGGAGGAGGAGGAGGAGGAGGAGGAGGAGGAGGAGGAGGAGGACGAGGAGGAGGAGGAGGACGAGGACGAGGACGAGGACGAGTACGAGGACGAGGAGGAGGAGGAGGAGGAGGAGGAGGAGGAGGAGGAGGAGGAGGAGGGAGGAGGGAGGAGGGAGGAGGAGGAGGAGGAGGAACGGAACGGAACGGCTGTCCACGAAGGAGAGGTCACGCCTTTACTGCCGGGCTGGTGCTAAGCCCATTTTGGCCCAACAGCGGACGGTGGCCCCGTAAAAGGGGCCAGGGAAGAAACCAGGGACACGAACCCCAGAAACATTTCCGAGATGGAAACTCCAGAAAACGAACCCGACAAGTAAAACCTGAGAGACAGGCTACCATCCTTCCTCCTGCCTCCCCCCCATCTCTTCGTGGAAGCCGACGATTGCGACCACCGCGCCCACGCCGCCCACCACGTATGCGGGCGGGTCGCGGCGCACGGGGGAGGGAGAGGCAGAGGATGAATGAGGAGAACGAGGAGGGGCGACTCTACACACAGCCTAGTAGGACAGAAACCTGAGAAACATCGTATGTGTCGCCCCACCTCACATATACGGCACTAGACACCTGAGGCAGCAAGGCCCATGGAATGCCTGATATGTAATGTGTGGAACACCTTGCCACACCCCCATGACCCACCGGTCTAAATCGTACCTCCCACCCCCATTCGGAGTTAGCAAACGCCTGGGGCGTGTGGACACGAGCAGGATCGAACAAACACCCTCAAGGGAAACTGGAATTCTGCGCTGCTCCAGGCGGCGCTCTCGGCGCCTCTGGAGTGCCGCAGCTCTGTAAGCAGCCATGCGTTGGAGTATGTGAGGGGGCGAGACAGGGGGGGACGGAGGAGGAGGAGGTGGAAGATCAGGGGATGCGCCACCAACGACATCCATGGCCTCCTGAGCCTCTGCAGCTGCAATGGCAATACGGTGTGAACATTCAAGCTCAATATCATCGCTCGGCGGTGCGCCAGGCTCTGGGGGCTGGGGCCTCAGGATCTCCGCAATCCTAGCCGCCGCTGCCTTCTTCCTGGTGCTGGACGAGCGAAACGCAAAATCTGGCCCCATAGCTGGGACATAGGCATCTATGCAGGTAGAATCGGCAAAAAAGTGCAGCAGCTCCGCACACTCATTTCCATCACCAGGCACAGGATCTAGCAATCTCGACTGCCCAACTAGCGAGGGCAACAGCGACTCCAGCATGGACTGTGCGAGCACACTGCATAACTCAGGGGATACATCTATATATAAAATAATAATAATAATAATAATCAGACATCCAACGCTTCTCAACCTCATCCCATCCGACAAGAGGCGGATGCGCACTGGGGCCATGTGAACAAAAGCCTCCTCCAGGCGTATCCCTTAGAAGGTGATGTAACTTAGGCATATGGATAGCTAGAGTTGCCGTCGGCGCACTGCCGACCTGACCGAATTCACATTAATCGAGACATGCAAACGTGGCAGCTGGCATCGCAATGAGCGCCTTTGGTGGCAGCACATGCCACGATGGGACGCATCTCGGCTCCCAGCTCGGCGGGGTTGGACGCTCCATCCAGCCCAGTGCCTGCGAGGCCGCCGCCACTGCAAGCAGCTCAATGGTGGCTTGAAAGAGGTTGTTGGAAACTCGCACCTGTAGCCTCTGCCTGGCCGTCAGCGCCGTCAGTCCCAACGGCGGGGAGGGCCCATCCCTCCACCTAGCTGTAGAAACAGTCTCGCATGCCCCCCCCCCCACACCCGATCGCAAGGACTCTTCCAAAAGTTTGCTTGGAGGTCGAATCGAGGGTGGAGGTCGGAAGGCAGGCGCGGCGGCGAGCGCCCGGGGGGGCAGCAAGAAGGGGCGGGCCAGCTCAGGAGGCCCGGAAGTCCCCGGGCCTTCGCACAGAGAAAGGGATCTATGGGCAGCCCAAAGGGTCACCGTGCCTGTCTTCGTCAAATCCTCCTTCTCCCTGTCCAGGGGAATGTCCGTAGCCAGAACAACGAATTCGAGCGAAGGGGTCTGCCAACCGAATTTCAACCCGTTGCTGAATATCATTATCCCTGCGCTGTCCGCAAAAAGTCAGGGAAACGAACACCTGTCCGCGTAAATTTCTCCTGGGCACCGAAGCAGCCAGAAGACCTGAGTACTGTATCGTTTCAAAGGGGGACTCAGCATCAATTACGCCGAGGTTCGGGCTGCTGCTCCACTATCGATTCGGGCACTGCCGACGCCATCTGCCTATTCAATCCTGTAATCTGCTCGACGAACTCTGACGCGAATCGGTTGGCCTCTGCACGTGAATCATCATGTTGGATCGCTCTAGCATTGAAGGGAATGGGCCCAGGAAGAGTCTGAGAGGGGAGGGTAGGGGTAGAGGAGGACAACCCTCTGCGAGCGAGTTCCTGATTCAGCTGACGTTCTAAATCGGCCATGACTTGCCGCCCCCCTGCGCTAAGTGGAGGAATGCGGCGTCTGCAAAAAACGAGAGTCTGACCAGCAAGGCTTGTCGCGAACGCAACTTCATGCATGCCGCGCAATGTTGTGCGTTCAGACGCGCGCGCTAGCGAATGCATGCTGTGAAAGCTCTGTGGGCAGAAATGGCATGTCATGGCCGGGGGGCTGGCGACATGCTGATCGTTTTCACTTGGCAGGCCTGCTGCAACCAACATGGCCATCGCCCTAGACTCCCATTATTGTGCCTTGACGTCTCTCTGGAGTCTGGCTTCTGAAGCGTTCAACGCCACTTTCAGGGTCCTTTTTCCAACCCGATGGCGACCTCAGGACCGCTGCTACACACGCCTGAGGGTCGCCACCTGGGAGGGGGAATTCCTTAAACTTGTGATGCGAGACGCGAAGCCACGACATATCCTCGCGCACCTCATGCAGCCATGACTTGCTTGAGCCTTGAAGCTCTGCCTGCAGCAGCGCCTGGAGCGGAGGCGGTGCAGAATGCAGCGCTTGACCGAACGAACGCATCCTTGAAACTCGCATGATGGAGTTGGCCAAGGGTCGATTCGCTTCAGCCAGGACCACCTTGTGCGTGGACCCACCTGCCTCAAAACGGGCCGATCGCATGATGAATCGGCATCGCTTGACATGCTGAGCATGCCACTTGGCCACCTCAGCCTTGCTAAGATCATGCCAAGCCCCGGGCGCGTGCATCGCTGCGTTGGCGGACAGCGATTCCAGGAAGACGAGCTTGGGCACCATGTCCCCTGCTGGCGTCTTGGCGACAACCTTGCGCGAGGCGGAGAGCGCGGCGCCAGCCTCGCGGTCTCTGTAGACGAGCTCTGGTCCCAGGGGCCCCCGCTCATCCGGCGTTGACCCCGTGTGCAGCGAGGGCCGCGCCGCGGAGATCGCGTTACCTCCGCAAAGAAGGCCTGGAACTGCCAGAGCTGGCTCCCCACTGTCAAAGATGTTCCTCCTATAGACAGCCGAACCCGCCCCCTTGCATATATCAAAAGCTCCGTCTTACCTATCTCGAGGTGGGGAAGGGGCCCCACGGGGGCGTAAGCGTTGAGCACAATCCGACAGAAGTCAGGTAAGCGAGCCGAGAATTCTGGGAAAGGGGCAAAGTAAACAAATCCAGAATCATCAGCGTAAACCATGCCTGGAACCAAGGTTTTGACTTGAGCCCGCAATGATAGAAATGAAGATGGCGTCGCCAGACGCAAAAAGCCCCCTCACCTCGGCACAATAATGCCCGCAAAGATTCTGCCCGCGAAGTAGCGGCATTTCAGCCGGGCGAGTTTACAAGAGAGGCAAATATGATGCCGGCACGGCGTAGGAGAGAGACTCATCGCTAGCATCAGTCCTCAAGACCATTTCTCGAATGCACGAAAAGAAGGCGGTGACAATATCAACAAACAGAAAGGCAATGGACTTGGCCGTGGCCCTGGCATACCTTTGGAGAACCCTGAGGATGACCAACTGTGCTAGTGGGAACAGGGAGGCGACGAGAACGGAAACACGAATGATATCTCCTGCCAATGTGCGAGACAATACGGATAGAGCGAGAGGCAGAGGTAGCATACATATGAGTATATAGAGATGTATGTATGTATGTATGTATGTATGTATGTATGTATGTATGCATGCATGCATGCATGTATGTATGTATGTATGTATGTATGTATGTATGTATGTAT